GTTATCACTTTTCATGATCGGATTTAATGCTGATTATGTGAGGACAGCTGAAATAAATTTGCTGTGTTAATATTTTTAAAGCATAAATGAAAATAAAGCTTGAGGATAACACTACATGAATAGTTAGTAGCACAAGCATGCATGCAAGCATGAACTTGGTGGTAATGGAAAATATTACAAAGGCCAAAGCAACCTCTCTAGAGCATGTTGATCTGACAGTAGCTGACTCTCAACTATCCATCAGCCAGCGCTTCAAATTCACCTTTTGTAGTGTTTTTCACCTCCTCCATCACTTTGCGATTCAGCTCAATCATCTCCTTCACTGAGGACAGACTTCACGGGATTGTTTCAGGACTACAAAGATTGCCGCCCAGCAAGTTGAGGAGCTGCATGAAATTAGTGTCAACGCTGTTAGTTGAAGACCAGGCAGCCAAAAGAGAAAAAAAAAAAAGAAATCCTTGAAAAAATTGATGTTCCAATGAAACCAAATATGTCCCATCACATGGACAATTTTCTTACTGAAGGAATGCCACAGATAACAACTGAAAACAATTACTGCTTCTCTCAACTGCTTTATGTTTACTGTCATTGGTTCTCATCCAACAAAGTGCTAATAAATAATCCTAAAACAGATCCAGAAATGGTTAATTTGGAAATATACCAGTTTTTAGGTTTGTACCTTGCTTAGAAAATACCAAATCAAACATATTTTAACTAACAGTTTCAACTAGTACGACCCATCTCAGCTGGACTTTACGCTAATCAGCAAAGGTAACATGCTAAACGACATGTTAGCATATTATTCACTTAGAAAATACCTCCTTTAGATAAACAAACACGATAACTAATTATCATTTGTATTTAGATGCTACTGTGTTCTCATTATATACTGGAGTGTATACTGGGGTTAAATATATTTAACCTCGCTTCTGATTTTTAGCACTGCATGTAGCGCAAACAACAGTCAAGTCAAAAACTGACTTTTACTTTGAGGGTTTTCATCCAACGCAGTAGAGACAACAGAAATGACACTGTGTAGTTCTGTTCTAACTATTCATTAAGCCACTAAGGATCACTGTTTCAAAGAGAAGACTGCCATTAACTAAATGAAAGAACAATAAAGTAGATTCAGAGCATCAGAAGACACACAAAAGCTGATGTTGGAATTCGGTGTAATGAGTTGTGCATTTGTTGGCTTTACAATAGTGCTGTAGTGACAAAGCAGATACATTCTTGAATGAACAGATCAACCCTAACTTGACCGCAATTCCCTGCGTCATTGAATTACTGTAGAACAGGTTACAGAGCTGAGTCATTTTCACATATTTATTGAGTCTCAAGCTACAAATTTCTGAGCAGATCTCAGTAAATGTAATAAAGTTGCTTCATTTACCGTCTGTAACTTTGCAAATTGTGGGTAAAAGAGAGGCAACGCACTGCAAACAGTGCTCCGCGGGAAATCAGAAAATATCCATTATCAAAGCAGACTGTTTTCTTACTCTCGCAGCAACGTTAAGTGGG